AAGGAGACTTGCCATTGCAATTCTTTTTTCCCATTACTGGAAAATGTTCCCTCAGTGTTTTCCTCACCTCTGCTTTGCCATGCTCTCTCCCTTTGGGATACCAGAGATGTATTTATTTTATATATCCAATTTATGCAAATGGCCTCAGGAAATCTGCCTCACCATTTGGGTGAGTAATCTGGGGGTGTTAATTTTGGATGAACTCAGTTTTCCTAAAAAGTATGCTATTGGTTATCTATGTCTGTCAGTTTATCTAGTAATTATGTTATACACCTCAAAGGTATCTGGCATTTGTTCTCTTTTGGTTTACCTATTTTTCCACAAGGAAATTGAATCTAATGAACTAAATAACCATTACCAGATTCTGCTTCAGGCTATGTACGATTCACAGAAGGAAACAGCATCCTGTAATTAGACCAGGCCCTGTGTCCAAGTTAAATGATAACACTAAGTACTGTAAAACTGTTTCCCTGAAACACCGTAATGCAACATACGCTTAGGCAGACAGCAGTCAGCCCAGTCCCTCCCAAGTCCTGCTGCTTTAACTGGCAGGATGGTCTTAAAAGAAGGAAACTGTTTTTTTATATAACAGGTCCTTGAGAAATGATTTAATAGAAATCCTTTCCTTGCTGTTTCCATCAGTCGCTTTAGTTTGTGAAGAAATTGAGTGCTTGCTGCAATAATCTTTACATGCACTGAGGTCAAGAACTATAAAATTCAATCTGATTTTACTAATTAGCAAAGTAGTTATTATTAGGAAAAGTTAACTGTCTTGTAGTGTACATTACAGTAACACTTCTTGCTGCTTAAATTTAATTGTTCTCAGTAGAAAGCAACTGAGCTTTGTGTAAATACTTAACAGGAAAAGAATATATCCCTTGCTTTGCTTCCATAGGCAAAGGTTCTATATACGCATATACCAGCATAGACTAAGTAAAACCAGTGACAAACGTAGTGGTATTACATTAAAAAAACCCAAACCAAACAGTGAAACATTCGTGTCAACTCTCAGTAAAAGAAAATTTTAAAATAATATCCCAGCTCTTGGGGGTTAACATCAACTTTAAGCAAATCAGCATTTTCATATTTTCAGAATCAAATACCGATATATGAAATAATTCTGTGCATAGCATAAGGCCCTATAAATAGGCTTCCACCATCAGTTCAAACAAACTGAACAGCAAGTTTCCAATGAGATCGGAGAAATACCAGTGAGGAGAAGCAAACAGGCTGAACAAGGAGCAGTAGCTGTGTCTGGCATGCAGGCATCAGCTTTGTCAGAATAGCAGCTATGATGTTAAAGAAGGTAAAATTTTTTAACTGAAGGTTGCACAGCAGTAAAAGCAGGACAGTGGTACTGAAGTAAATGGAGCAAACTATCTACCTCTAATAAATCAAGAGGGCTGTTACAGAAGCCAGTCAGTGTGACTGCCAGCTTGTTGTCCAGCTCTTGTTCCTATTCTTCAGTATTACAGGAGCTGAAGCTAGGAAGCCATTCCGCCCACCTTTACTTCTCTTTTATATAGAAAATGCAAACCCAAACAGAAACCCTAAAACAAATTGAAAGGCACTACTTTACTTTCCATCTCCTCTCCTGCCAAAACAGCAGCTCTTCATGAGGTCAGCAAAATGCCAGTTCTTGCTGCATGGCTCCACTCGAGCAGTAACTGAAACCCCCCAACTGTAACAAAGGTGTTGAGCAGCTTGCCAGCTGCTCAGATGCTGGCTGAGATGTGATTTTTCTGGGATATGGTTATCCAAGGATTGGTGCTGTGTCAGCCAAAGGCCTGGTGGCAGCTACAGATACCCTACCTTGTATTTTTCTGCCTGCTAGCTTATAGCTCTGACTCCATCTATTTTTTATCTGTGGTATAGCCTTCAAAGCTGAAACATGTTCATAGGAATAGTGTCTAGGCAACTTTTGATTTAACTGGCATAGGAACTCAGTGGTAACTTGCTAAGTTAAACAGACATTTAAGTACAGCCTTCAAGCCTAAAGTTAAAAGTACTAAAGCACCTACATCCGGCACAAAACTGGACTTAGTCACTGTTTAAGTAAGTCTGGTTCTTGACATACTGTCAGGAAGAATCAAAGATGAATCAAATGACGCATTTGATTTATCCCATTTTTTTGCTGTGGCAAAGACAGCCAACAGGATGCAGGGTTACATCAACATGGGCATCACCAGCAGAGATAAAGATGTCATTATCCTCCTATACTTGGTGCTTGTGTGGCCAAACCTGGAATACTGTGTTCATGTTTGGTCCCTGCTCTACAAAAAAAAAGATCTGGACAGGCTGGAGAGAGTTCTGAGAAGGGCCGCAAAGATGATCAAAGGACTGGGAAGCCTGACCTATGAGGAAAGGCTGTGAGAGAACTGTGTTTGTTCAGACTTGAGGAAAAAAGGCTTACAGGAGACCTTATCATCATGTTCCAGTATTTAAAGGGTGGCTACAGAGAAGATAGAGCCACTTTTTACAAGGAGTCACACGAGAAAAACAAAGAGGTAATGGGTACAACTTATACCTTATTAGTGTATATAAATATATAAAGGGGGAGTGTCACGAGGATGGAGCCAGGCTCTTCTCAGTGGCAAACAATGATAGGGCAAGGGGTAATGGGAACAAACTGGAACACAAGAGGTTCCACTTAAACTTGAGAAGAAACTTCTTCTCAGTGAGGGTGACAGAACACTGGAACAGGCTGCCCAGGGAGGTTGTGGAGTCTCCTTCTTTGGAGACATTCAAAACCCGCCTGGACACGTTCCTGTGTAACCTTATCTAGGTGTTCCTGCTCCGGCAGGGGGATTGGACTAGATGATCTTTTGAGGTCCCTTCCAATCTCTAACGTACTGTGATACTGTGATACTGTGAACCTAACCTGTACGTAAGTGAACTATTTGTATTTTACTTGCCATTAGGTTAACCTAATCCTCCTTCCCTGAAACAGGATTAAGCTCTATAGTCATCCCTCTGGGATTATGAAGTTAAGTTTGGGTTTTTAGTTTTATCATTAAAATACTTGCACCAGGATTATGTACTTCCCACTGCTGACATATGGGTGACACAATAAAATGGCAAAGAAAAAAATGTGACTGTCATTACCGTGGGAGAAAAAAAGAGGAAGAACTAAAGTAGGCTTTCAAAATTTCTTGCAGTAAGTCTACCAATCAGCTGCACTCAATAATGGAAACAGGACCAGGAAAATTACAGCTGATGTGTACTAGGCAGTATGCAGATTTTCGTAGCTCAAGGATCCTTGTGAATCCAAATCTGCCAAAGTAGTGGACAGCTCAAATCAGATATACATTGTGATGTGCAAGAATCTTTATCTTTTAACTAGGTTTGTAAGTAAATAAAGTTTATCTGTGTTGTCCATTTATTAATTTTTCAGTCCTCCAGTAGCTTTCTAAATTACTAGTTAACTAATCTCCAAATTTCATGGAGACACAAAAATGCCAAAGACAAAGAATAAATCTCTATCAGGTCACAAAACCAAAGACTGCATAGAGAAGTCACAAATAAGAGATCCTAGAGAGAAAAAGACAGACAGCCCAGTTCTTGTTGGCTCTCAGGTAAGTGTCCAACAGCCTGCCAGCACAGACTGCGCAGTTGGTATCTGCACTGTTTCTTGCTGCACAGCTGTTGTGGACTTTGGGGGAGGTTCACTCCATCTATGTATGTCTCTGTATGTCTCTGTCTGTCTGTCTATCATGATCAGGGGTAACATGTTAGAAACATTGAAGCTGAGGTAAAAAAGCATTAGTATTCTAAGAAACACGTGAACAGATTATATGCAGGTGAGGGGAGAACAAAGTACTGAAACAAAGCCTCTAAGCACAGAGGGAATCATGGGTTTGTGTTACATAGGACCATTGGAAGTAGGTTTAAAGACAACATGGGTAAGTTCAGAGGGCATGAAAAAATGAGACTTGGCTTTATTAATTCACTCCGCTCATTCAGCTGAGGGTAAAAGGAAGAAGAAACATAATGCAGCTAAACTTGATTAATTTACAACCCCAGTGAAAATAAGTATTACCTTCAGAAGATATACATTCAATTCAAAATTACTAACCTGCAAGTTCTGCACGAGGTTTAAATACGACCTCTGAATTTTCATTTGACTGTACTAACAAAAATGGCCTACAGAAATTAATGTTTCAGATCTTACATCAGCTGTAGAGGCTTAATTTCTGATTCTCTTATAAACCATATAAAATGTACTAGTAGTTTTAGTGATACATACATTCCGTACTATGTGAATATGAAGTTATCATAAAAAGTGAAGTATTTCAATAGTAAGAATGTGGGCTGGGAAGATTTTGTTATCTGGTTTACGTACCATTTAGCAGATTTTATGTCTTGAAATCATAATCCCATATGCTACAAGTAATAACGCTAATCAATAATATATGAATGCCTGGGATCAGATTTGTGCTGAGGACAAGTACAGAAAAGTTCCACAAAATCATAAACAATATCTTTTCTGCTGCTAATGATACTTAGTTGTAATGGAGCTAATGACTCTTAAATTAATGCACAGTCAAGAAATTGGCTCAGACTACTTGCTCTTAATTTTAATTTTCTTTATTTCTATAGAGATGTAGAGTGTCTTTTATCACTTTCTTCTGAACTGGAAGTGAAGCTGGGGATTTAATTTTTGGGTACAGACACAGACGCATGCTTCAAATATGTAAATAAATGAGTCACAGTCTTGAAATGGGTTACGGTTCTTAAATTATTCCAGAGTAACAGTGAAGAATAGTATGTTTTGAAAATTTAATGAAAAATAACTGCAAGTGATTACTACTCCTTTTAAGCCACCAAATGTTATGTTTCAGTGCCTCAGATGCTCTGTGTTAAGTTAGTGTAAAAAACAGTGAGAAATAAAGCAGGCGATTCAGGGCTACACTGGAACATCTTGCAAGCACAGGAAAGCACAACTGAAATTTAAGATGTATTTTGCTTGACAGAGTAATTTATGCCATTTTTCTACTTACAGCAGACATGATGAGCTCTCCACCTAGATTCTGGATTTCTGCTTTAACTTGGCTGCAGATTTTGAGCTGATGGGAGTACAGCTTGATCTGTTCCAGGTAAGCCAACAAATCCTGTTTGCATGATTGGTCTGGACACTGAAGATTAAGAAAAGAACAATTAATAAAGCATTTCAGCAATTGCTGATGCAGAATTTTGTCTGAAACATTATGTTAATATTTCACTGAGGAGTATTCAAATTGTACACCAATCTAGCCTTGCTTTTCACTGCAGCTGTGTCAGATCACAGTTCATTCCTTCTGTGAAACTTTTAACAAAATAATTGGAGAAGTTCAGAATAATCCTGCACTTTCCCATATTAACTTTTTTTTCTTTAAACAGTGCTGGGCTTGCCTTAGGAATATTTCTAAACAAATTCTTTAATGTATGGAATAGTTACTTTCCCTTCAGCTCTTAAGAGGTTATGCTTTCTTTTTAAGAACACACAAGAGCAATGATAACATTTATAGGAAATAATGCTTAATTTTATAGTACAATCTATTTTTTTGTCTTCCATCCAGAATTTATTCAACACAATCCAAAGATCTTCTGTAACAGTAGGAATAGGACAAGAAAAACATCTTACAGAAAACACCAATTCCAATACTTTTAATAGCACAGGATTTTTTTTTTTAATAAAAATAGCATCTTTCCACCCTCATTTCTTTGAACTCCCTAAATACCTGGAGTACTGGGAGGGGAAATACTATTCTGTGAGTACCAGGCTAGACACTTAAGGCCTGATATGCATTTGTTCTAAAGCTGCTTGCTCTGGCAGAGTAAGGGATCTTAAGGTGAATGGTAAGTCCCTATTGTGCTACCACAGCTGTAAAAAGTGAGCACAATAAATAATAAATAGATCCCTACAAGTTTTTCAGAGACATATTTTTAGCCTGTATGCATACTGACATTACAAATATGGTTACTGCCTTTTGATAGAAGATTGTGTTCAGCTTTGTGTATTAAGAAAGATATGTTATTGTGTATTAAGAAAGATATGTTCCCACCAACTGCAGTGGCAACAGCCATATATGGGTTTGTATAGTTATTTAAACTTTTGAGTCTTATGGAATTGTGGTCAATGGATTTAAATCCATAACCTACCACAATTCAGAAAAAGCACTATCTGTTGAATTCATGAAATACTGTACCTAAACTACTGGCATTGCTGAAGAAACTCGATACTTGTTTAAAATGGGGGTGTGACAATTCCACTTTTCATGCAGTTATGTTTGGTAAAAAAAAGCAGTCCATGTCTTAGACTTAGGAAAAGTTAATAAATAATGAAGAGTAGGATGAACTATTCTAAATTACTTACTTAATACGCATTAAATGCTCTCGTGAGACCTCACTTGGGAGTACTGTGTACGGTTCTTGTGTCCTCAACATAAAAAGGACATGGATCTGTTGGAACAAGTCCAGAGGAGGGCCACGAGGATGATCAGGGAACTGGAGCACCTCCCATATGAAGATCGGCTGAGAAAGTTGGGGCTGTTCAGCCTGGAGAAGAGAAGGCTGCGTGGAGACCTCATAGCAGCTTCCCAGTATCTGAAGGGGGCCTATAGGGATGCTGGGGATGGACCCTTCATTAGGGACTGTAGTGACAGGACGAAGGGTAACGGGTTAAAACATAAAACAGGGGAAGTTTAGATTGGATATAAGGAGGAAGTTCTTTACTCTGAGGGTGGTGAGGCACTGGAATAGGTTGCCCAGGGAGGTTGTGAATGTTCCATCCCTGGCAGTGTTTAAGGCCAGGTTGGGCAGAGTCTTAGGTGACGTGGTTCAGTGTGAGGTGTCCCTGCCCATGGAGGTTGGAACTAGAAGATCTTAAGGTCCTTTCCAACCCTAACTATTCTATGATCCTATGTAATGTCAGTCTCTACCTCATGTTCTACTAGATCTGTTATTAAAATATTGTCTGTACTTTGGCAAAATTTAGAAGAAAAACAGAAAAGTTTCTTGACATCGTCTCATTCTTACGTGTGATGTTTTCGAAGTGTTAGCATGTTACAGAAAATTATACTAAAATATGCCTTTGCTTCTTCCTTACTCAACACTGCTTTCAGAACTGCACAAACCAGTATTTAAATATTAGTATCTCAGTTTAGAGAGTTTAGACTGCTTGGAAAACTGGAATAGTCATTGTTTATGTAATTAATATAAAAATCTGTCCTATCAGTCAGATGCAACTGTAATCCCTTTAAGCATCAGAATTAATTATATAAAACCAGGGTGTATTTCCTGCAATGAGAGATGTTTGCTCCTCTTCTTCCTTTTTTTTTTTTTTTTATTTAAGTATAGCATGATCTCTTCCCCCCCCCCAAAAAAAAAAAAAACAAAACCAAGAGATGGGCAGACAGGATGCTTAAATAGTGTCTCATCCACTTCAATAGTGACAATGTCAATTACAGAATGTCAGAGACAAGAATGATTTAACCTTATTATATAGTACTCTCTCATATTGTAACATTGGCAGGCTAGTCACATTTACTATCTTACTTATATACCATATAGAGAAGAAATGCATAACATTTTAGAAATGCTAAAGATGATGTGCATCAAAGACCAAGAAACTGCCACTCAAAACCAAAATATGGAAACACTGTTCAGTGCTCAGTAGATTCAAAAAAGGTAAATGCTAGGCGTTATTAGGAAAAGACTTCTGAAATGTAATTATGCAACTGTACAGCTCTGTGATACACCCACAACTTTTCTACCTAGTGTAGGTATGATGCATCTTTCCTCTCCCTTGCCCGCTACAAGGCACATAGAAAAACAGAAGGACAACAAAGATTTTTGTGAAGACAGGTATTCTTCCCTCCAATACAAGAGGTCATTAAAAGTAACTAGCCTGAGTTGAAAACAAAAGGAGATGGCTTTTAACACTGTTGTTAAGTTTCAGAAATCTTTGTTGCAGGATGGTTATACTAAAAGGTTACACGGGTTAAAAAAGTTGCTGGAAAAGTTAATGAAAAAAATACCAAGGACTGTTTAATGTATCAAGTGCATCAAAACTAGGTTCGGTTAAGTAAACTCTTGAATGGCTGCTGCAGGTTGGGAAACCATATTGTGGAAGAATCATGAAATGCATGCCATTATCTAGCCAAGTTCTGAAGATACTCACTATTGACTGTTGTCAGCAACAGGACATCGGCCTAAGTGAACCTACAGGGTCTGACTAAGTGTGCTCATTTTTATGTACATTACCCATGAAACTTCACAAGACCATATGAACACAGCAGGGACCAACACAGTAGAAAGAAGAGGCATTTACAGGGGTGAAGATAAGAATCCTGCACTATTTTTTGCAGGATGGTGTACTAAAAAAAACTTACAGCATATCCAAATCAACCTTAAACAGATGTTAGGAAGAAATGTGCTGTGTAAAGAGGATAGTTGTAATGAATCCTCTACATACTGCTCAGAAGCATCTGGTACAAGTTGCTCACTAGTGAAACCAAACACTAGGCTACAACAGAAAGACAGTTAATAAATTCTGAGTTTAATCATCCCAAAGGTAATTGATGGTTACCAGTTTAATGCCTCACATTCTTAGCTAGAGATCCTGGCAAATTATGCAAGGTTCTTTTCCATACATATTTAAGACAGGGAGGTTTTAACAAGAGCTCTCCATAACAACAGGAGCAGAACTGACTTCCATTCAAAATATGCCAGGATGTTTTACCTAATAGAGATAATATCCACAAAAACTTCCATATGATTTGATTAATTGTGCAGTGATTAAAATCACAGTGAAACCAGCATTTAACAATCCAAATGAAAAAGCCACTGGCACAGCAGTGCCAAGACAAACAATTCTGCAGGAAAGTCTGATTACAGCAATGCTGTTCTTGCTTCACTGTAATTTCATCCCTTTGCTAACAAAGTCTGTAGCATTTCTTTACAATCTGAAGCTGTCTTTATGGTCATTAATACTGGGTATAATCACACACAGACCCGCTACTGTAAATGTGTAATTTATTGCAATTATTTGTTAACTGCAAGCTTTTAGGTAAGATGATCCTGTAATCAGAACATCTTTTTGGCACATCTGCTTGCATCGTATTTATCAGCTTATCATTTTAGATGCCTTTTTCATTTTACTTTCAGGTAAACATTTTTGAAGCACATGAAATCAGCTAAGTCTGGAGACTACCTGGTTCTACACAATATGGATGTTTCATATTGAGCCCTACACTTCCAGATTGGAAGTCTTTAACATTTCATTGCCTTGATGTATTGATCCTGACCAAGAGACCACTGTACATTGAGGAGCTGGTACCCCACACAGCAGCTGACCTGTGAACTAGGGCCAGACCTGGGCTGTGCTGCAGAGCACAAATCCCTTGGCCATAGCATACACCTGCTAACGTATGGCAGCAGACAAGCCTGCAGGAAGCTCCAACTCAGTAATGGGTTTGGGACGCCTGCATAGCCTTGCCTTTATCCGGGACTGCAGCAAAAGGTTCCATTGTGAACATCCCATTTGACAGTGGAAATTACTGAGTTAAATTTATTTTCGGTTTATTTGGATTAATCTGCCTGGTTTTATGCTGATGCTGTACTGTGATTATTTTCACAGTTCTTAACACTGAGTTATCTTAAAAGTGCTGTCAGTATGGATTGAAATGTAACATTCTGCTAATTGGACCATACTGTGTCCCTTTCCTTCAAACCCAGGAAGAGAGGGTTATAAAAGCCTGTCCTGTTAACTGCAAAGGCAGAGTAATAGTTCAGTCATGGGATGACTGTGAACAGTAACATGATGTGGCCTAATTAAAGGACAGTATCAGACTTACAGGGTAGCCTAAGCTCAATAGCAAGTGGTGAAAAAGTGGTGAAAAGTATGTGCAGGAAGTTACTTGAAACTGGTACAATGTAGAGGTCTTTTGAAACAGAGCATACAAATTCATTTTTACACAGAATAAAAATTCCACATAAATTAGATGTTATTAAAAGGCAACAGGTTCAATACTCCACTAAAAAGCATTAACGCCACCGAGAAAGGCACTCATAAAGCCTCCTTGGAATTTATGTTCCAGTCTGGGCACCGGATTCTCGAAGAGCTCCTTCAGTTTGGAACATATTCAGAGAACAGCTATCAGGTAGCCCAGAAGAACATCTTTATTTTATTTTAGGACCCAAGAAAGCAGGGCATAGGAAATTTAGCAAAGTAATAGCTGAGAAAAGGAATTACTGGTCTTTACAAATACCTTGGAGACTGAAAAAGAACACAATGAGGAAAGAGCTTTATAAGTTAAAGAATGACTTGGCACAGGCAAAACAGGTTAGGGAAATTAAAGGATTTCTAGCCATCACAGGAATGAGAGGATAATATTAAGTATCTCTGTAATAGGAGGAATAAAGGCAAGGTTCTCTTTTATACTATGTTTGACACATGACTAGCAATGCTTGTAGTCGTGCACATCACAGTTGTACTGGAAGGGCTGCTTTGGTTCAGTTGTTTATTTTTTTTTAATTGTATATGCTCATTTGCTTCTAATACATATGGCATGAAATAACATCTAAAATACAAGCAACACCTCTAACAGTGTATTTCTGATGCATACAAGATACCATAGGGAATAAATACCAGGGGTCAGGTGGCTCAAGGGTATCAACTATGTGCAAGGTTCTCAGCTAGGTCATATGCAAATAATTTGAGTGAATTCACTAAAAGGGTTACAATAACTAGAATGATGTCACATCATTCCAGCAGCTGATGTTTCCAAGCAGCTGCTGGGAAATGTGTCACACAAATTATCAGTACTAATGATTCATGGCTACTTTTTGCTCATACTAATTTGTTCATGTTTCTGGTCTGCAGTCATTGTAGTAATACAGGAAAAGGAAAATTTTAGGAAAGAAGTGACTCAGTGAGACTAGATTCCCTATTCTAAGAGCAAGAGATTGTCACCCTTGCTCATCTTCAGCTTTGATACCATATTGTTTTCTGCAATGGATCAGTGATGGGTTAGAATTTTAATTTGTAACTGGTAAAAGCTTGAAAGCAGCCATTCTCCAATGCTCTTGAAAAGATGTAAGTGCTGGAAGAATATCTGCCAAGATCACAAATTGGGACTTAACAACATTTTACCTTGTTTTTCACAAATCAGATCACAACTGTATAAATGGAAAATATAAGTCTTGTTATCTGGAATTCAGGAACACATACAGCAGAAAAAGCCAACAGATTGTTGCTGCTTCATAGATACTAGAAAAACAAAGGTCGTATATGAAAATTAAAAGTGAATGGAAGAGAAACAATATGTAAGGGTGTGGAAGGCAGTGACCTGCATGCTGCCCTGGGCCTAAAAGGCAGTTACAAAGCCTAGGAATGTGTACATGCTTTAGATTTGATACTTGCACACTGACATTTCACTACACTCTTCTTCTGGCATTCTCTGGCCCTAAAACCACCAACCTTACTTAACAAAGCAGGCTGCGTGTGGCAAGTTGCTTGGTATACTTATTTTCTAAGCTACTATGGAGTCATCCTAGCCAGGCACATGAGCATGTTTATCAATTTACGTGCATCTGGTTTAGGTATTTTGGTAGGGTTTTTTGAGCTGTGATATATTTAAAATTCAATGAAAATAAAGCAGAATTTATTGTTCCACTCTGCATTTGATGATGGTACATATTTCTTTTAAATGCAAAAAAAATCATCTCAAAACTTCAGGCATGCAGAGGCCAAAACTCTGACTATCCAGAAGGATATTTACATAGACAACTGTTTGACATCAGCACTCCAAAGAAATGGACAGTGTTGAGGGGCAGAAATGGAAGACGGATAAAACTAGGTACACCAGAAGTACAAATTCTATAACTACAAAGGGAGATTAGGGTGAAAAATAAGTAATTTCAAAGAAAAAAGAAGCAAAGTCAGTAACCTTACTAAGGGTGGTGCTGAGGCCTAGCACATGTCTAAGCCCACTCAGCAGAATTCTACGCCGGTGCAACACTCAGCTTCTAAGCTGGCTCACCTGAAACAATTACAGTTGTTTCTAGGTAATTTACCCAAGGAAAAATGGACTATACATCTAAATGTTGCATTCATAGCTCTAAGGAGTTATGAATATATGTATATATTTAGACATTATATATTCATGTATCTGTCTAAAATTTTGCATTCATAGCTCAAAGGAGCTCACAAATATACCCATATGTACAAATACATGTGGAGATAAATACAAAAATACACATCTGTGATATATGTACAAAGACATTTATGTGTGTTCATAAGTGTATTTAAACAGACACATTGATATGTATGAAGAGAATCCTCACAGCTAAATTGAGGAAGTGTGGTCTGGATGATCGGGTAGTGAGGTGGACTGTGAACTGGCTGAAGGAGAGAAGCCAGAGAGTTGTAGTCTATGGGGCGGAGTCTAGTTGGAGGCCTGTATCTAGTGGAGTGCCTCAAGGGTCGGTACTGGGACCAGTATTATTTAATATATTCATCAATGATTTAGATGAGGGAATTGAGTGTACTGTTAGCAAGTTTGCTGATGACACTAAGCTGGGAGGGGTGGCCTACACGCCAGAAGGCTGTGCTGCCATCCAGCGAGACCTGGACAGGCTGGAGAGTTGGGTGGGGAGTAACTTGATGAAATATAACAAGGGAAAGTGTAGAGTCCTGCATCTGGGCAGGAACAACCCCAGGTTCCAGTATAGGTTGGGGAACGACCTGTTAGAGAGCAGTGTAGGGGAGAGGGACCTGGGGGTCCTAGTGGACGACAGGGTGACCATGAGCTGACACTGTGCCCTTGTGGCCAAGAAGGCCAATGGCATCCTGGGGTGTATTAGAAGGGGGGTGGTTAGTAGGTCGAGAGAGGTCCTCCTTCCCCTCTACTCTGCCCTGGTGAGACCTCATCTGGAATATTGTGTCCAGTTCTGGGCCCCTCAGTTTAAGAAGGACAGGGACCTGCTGGAGAGAGTCCAGCGCAGGGCAACTAAGATGATTAAGGGAGTGGAGCATCTCCCTTATGAGGAAAGACTGAGGGAGCTGGGTCTCTATAGTTTGGAGAAGAGGAGATTGAGGGGTGACCTTATTAGTGTATATAAATATATAAAGGGGGAGTGTCACGAGGATGGAGCCAGGCTCTTCTCAGTGGCAAACAATGATAGGACAAGGGGCAATGGGTACAAACTGGAACACAAGAGGTTCCACTTAAATTTGAGAAGAAACTTCTTCTCAGTGAGGGTGACAGAACACTGGAACAGGCTTCTGGAACTGCAACAGGGAGGTTGTGGAGTCTCCTTCTCTGAAGACATTCAAAACCCGCCTGGACACGTTCCTGTGTAACCTTATCTAGGTATTCCTGCTCCGGCAGCGGGATTGGACTAGATGATCTTTTGAGGTCCCTTCCAATCTCTAACATACTGTGATACTGTGTAATCCATGCATACAACTAAGACAGGATCTACATATTCAAAAATTGAGAAGAAAAAGATCAGACAGTAAAAATGTCACGAGCGCTTTTGTAAGTGATTTTCTTAAGTGTTAGGGGTTCTGTGACACAGTTTAATGCATTACTGCATCAATAACCTACCTGATTGGCAATCAGCCGTGCTAGGACATCCATCCTTGATCCCGACTCTGAAATCATTTTTGCTGCATTAATTACATCAGATGTGTTCTTCAGTGGTCCTCTACCCCTTCAAATGAAACAAAGAACCCTCTTACATTATGCAAAAAATTGGGAATAAATCATACCCATACAAGTTAGGCACAGAAGAACTCTACTAAATAAAATAATTAAACCATACAGAAGCAACTTTAACAGTATTAATTAAATACCCACCCCCCCAACTGTTTTGTTTTCATGCCCCACAAATTTGTATTGTTTGGCATCAAGTGGATGCAGAAGTACCAGAAAGATGTCACTGTTTTCATACTGGAAGCACAACACATGTCAAATCCTAAGGATAGGACAGGGATTTTAGAAGACTTTTGTGGCATTTCCTTTTCCCGTGGTTATAGGATTTTATGTGCCTTTCCCCTCCTGAAAAATTTCTAGTAAATAGGTTCAAAGAAAGTTCAGCCCAGGGATGTATTTGGAGACTCATTATGGGTATCTGGTCAGAAAAATAGTTGTTTGATTGATTTTGGGTTGTGGGTTTTTTTGGGGGTTTCTATTCCTTCCCGCATCTCCCCAGCCAAACAACTACGAAGTTCTTGTGAACGGTTTCTCAAGAAGCCAGCTTCTTTTTTTGTACACCCCCCAACCCAAAACACTTATTTAATTACATGAGACTGTTTCTAGAACCCAGGACAAAATGTGAGTACCTAAGGCAGGCAATATTGACAACCATTATCTTCACATTTTCCTGTGCTTCTGTTTCTTTAGTGCTGAAATACTTTAAGGTAAACTAAATAACTATTTTATTTCACACATGTATAAAGTGAGCAATCCTGCTAAGTAAGTTTAACTTTGCATTTCAAAATCTTTGACAGGAATACTTTCAGTTTTATGCAGACATTTAATTCCTGAAGGCTTCACATCAATTTACAAGTTCTGCTCTACAAACCGTAAGCAGTCCAGCACCCTCCTGCAAAATTACAGCCCAGACTTCCAGTCAAATAACACACAAGATGAACACAACCCAGAATTAAAGCAGCAGGAATAGGCGAGAGGGCATAACAGTGCAAGTAACTTATGCTTAGGAAATTCTTGTTAATATCAGCCAGCAGCCTTTTTGATATGTGAAGATATACTGGCTGGGTATTTTGAGGGTGAAGTTGGTAAATTAAACCAGCAATTTTCTTGTACCTCTGCAAGTCCCCCAGAGGATCTAGCTAATGAGAATGAAGCAATTCTAACCCAAGAAAGGTATTTCAAACAAATTAAAACAAAGCATTTCTTCTCACCACAAAAACGGTCACTGTGAGAGCCATTAGAGGAACACTCAAGAATGAGGACTAAGATTTCTGCTCTATTTGCCACCTGACTGCACTAATGGTTCAAGGTCTTCTCTGCTACATTCTGTAAGAAATGTGGGGCAGGATGCTTATGAGCTATAAACCACAGCTAGGTCTTGAAACAAATACTTCAAAATAGTGTTTAAGAATGCCTCGGCCTTATATTAGAGTGCTGAACAAACAGCATGGTAAGTTACACATACAAAGAGGTCTCCTTTGCTGCACAACCAAGAAGAACTACCTGTGCTCCTTTTTGTACTTTCACATAAAATCCAGATCCTTTTACATAAAGTACAGGTTTAATTGCCTTGGGGTATGGCATAATGAGCTGTTAGTCCCAATTTATGATGTTTTGCAATTATTACCCACTGGACACTTTAGAAAGAACACTTGGGAGAGCACACCAGATCTGCTGAATCACCAGACAAATTAAAGCAACAGACAGGAAAAAAAAAAAAAACAGTATGAAATTTCTAAAGATACAACTGCACGCTATAGATTTTGACAAAAATCATCAACTGCATAGAGAGAGCAAGATAGCCTATAAGGTTGTTTTAAAAAAAAGACACAGGAATTACCACATGGGTCAGTCTGAACACCATGAGGTAGTGCTGTTAGGAAAGTAGCAGATGCCACAGCGTGGTACACAGGTAAAAAAGTTTTCCTTTTGCTTTATCAGTTTTATTAAGACTGCAGCTGCAGTTCTGTGTGGGTTTCCATGAGTTTTGACACAGTTGGACAGTTAGACATGTCATAAAGATAATGAATAAGGAATGACTGAAGGGCTTAGACCCTTAATTTGAGTTAGAAATTTGAAAATTAGTAGTGGGGCAAAGAAGGAAGCATAAGCAAGAGATCCTGTAGGACAGACATGGTAACAGTCCTCAATTGGGCTTCATGGCCATATGGGATAGGGGAGGTAGTACTGAGCTTTTATTTGGGAAAAGAAGTTTCAGCTGAGGTGTTGAGATGGTGAGAAACCAGAACAGAGCATCCAGGAGGTTGTGGTGTCTCCACCACTGGACAAGACTAGACAGGTATTTGTTACGTATGGTGGGATGATTTAAGTCTCTTGAGGTCTCTTCCAGTCCAACAATTTGATTATTTTAAATTTAACAAAGAAGTTTCATGTTGTTTGGCGAATGAGTACCAGTTTCAATGCATGCTGCCTTCTAATGTTATCAGTGCAGCTGTGCATTTTGTGAATTCCCAGTTTTCCTGATTTAGCACCAGATCAGCAGATTCAGAATGCCACTAGCTCAGATAAACTCCCTGAATCCAGATGTCAGAGATGCATAAAGTCCATTAAATGTTTTCCCCAGCCATCATGTGGCTTCCTACCAGTTTTATATTTACTTGTGTTTTGTCTTGCAAGTTTGAAGTATGAAAAAACACTTTGTAGAGGAGGCTGTTTCCCTGAGCTACTCATCTCACTGCCTGGAATTTTTTTTTTCAGATACTTCACTTCGTTCTCTCTTTGTATCACTGTACTGACACCCCTTTCCTTCTACAGACATAGTCTATGATCCTCCCCCACCAAGTGCTGAGGAATCTCTGCCTAATCTGAGAGACTCTTGTGGTACATTTTGGTGGTATTTGTTAAAGATAACCAAATTACTAGAGATAATGCAGATCTGCATGCAGAAGTTTAAGATTAGCTTAACTCATGCACCTACAGGAGATGCTTAGACAGATTAAAAAAATCCTTCCCACCAAGTACCATCTGCTGGTCAACAGCACCACAAAATTTCTCCTTCATGGAGTTCTCCACCTTTTCCCTCTTCTACATGAGTTCCAGTTTCTTAGAATGGATGTTCATGTTGCTATGGCATCCATGAAACATGTTGGGTTATTTTTTAGTCACTGTTCTCTTACTATTTCTCCCTGTTTCCAGTCTCTAATTTTTAAAGCCAAACTCGGTCGTGCACACTCAGTTACTGCATTTACTGAAATTCTTTCCAAATAATTTAATTGGGTTCACAGCCTACAGTAGACTCTGAATGCCTAATCTGGACTCACTGCATGGGAAGTCTAATTTATTTTTCTCACGCTTCATTATTTCCAAGCATAAAGCCTTACTAGCTATGTAAGCTGGTACCACATTCAAGGCTATGAAAACAAAGATGAAACACAAAGTACTGTATTTATGAGCAATTATATGCCTCCAAGATACTGATGGATTGTTCTCTTGTATCACCTGTTCTACCCAATAAAGAAATTGGGAAGACCATGAATAACTTGAGAATCATCCATCTAAGTCTAAATAGAAGGAATGTAGTTGGATTGGGTACAACAAAATCAGTTTAGAGTATCTCCACAAAGCTGTAGGAGAAAAACAGGCTTCGCATAAATGTTTCTTGAAAGATACAATGGTAAGAAGAAAACAAAACTGGACCGCATTAACTGGTAGGACACCACAGGTTTTGTAGAATTGTGAAAGAGAGACCTAAGCCTCTCAAGTCTAATCATTCTTGCTTCAAGCCATGATAAACAGTGTTGCAGAGTAAATCCATCCCTGTCTGCCTAAACTATAATTATCAGGCATCAGAATCAGGCATTGTGATCTGTTTTCCTTCATACTGGAATTTCACTCTGAAAAGTAATGATCAAAAATATTCTCCTAATTTTGCATCAATAAAAACTTATACTCTTATCTAAAATCCAAAAGGCCTTTGGCATTACATTTTCCAGGAATAGTCTTCTGTCTCTAAGCAAAGCTGAGTGGCTTTCCTCTACTCACTGTACTCACATCAGCAAGTGTTTCATACTTCCCCCATGGCAGAAACAACAATAGGGAGCTCTACTGACCAGTCACTCTCAAAAAATAAACTTCTACCTAAAATATGTGGCATCATTCCGTCCTAACACACCCAGTCAGTTGCCAGCACCTATAATAAATGCTTGGAGCAATGTAGAGATATTCCAGCCATTCCAGCCAATGAGCCGGCTTCATTTGGAGCTCAGCTCAGATGCCTCTATACAAATGCCCGTAGCATGGGGAACAAAGAAGAGGAATTAGAGATGTGTGCACATCTATGGGGGTATGATATAATAGGCATTGCAGAAACATGGTGGGATGGCTCCTATGACTGGAGTGTTGGAATGGAAGGTTACAGGCTCTCTAGAAAAGACAGGCCTGGCAGGCAGGGAAGGGGGAGTTGCCCTTTATGTTAGAGATGGGCTGGAGAGTATGGAACTCCATCTAGGGATGGGTGAGCAGTTAGCAGAGAGTTTGTGGGTCATGGTTAAAGGGAAAACAGAGATGGGAGACATTACTGTGGGGATCTGTTACAGACCTCCTGATCAAGGAGAAACTGCATGAAGCACTCTATAGGCAGATAGGAAAAGCCTCACGCTCACAGGCCCTCATTCTCATGGGTGACTTCAACCACCCTGACATCTGTTGGAATGATGGTACGGCCCGGCACAAGCAATCCAGGAGGTTGCTCGATTGTGTGGAAGACAAATTCCTTCTGCAAGTAACAGAGGAGCCGACAAGGAGAGGTGCCATGCTTGACCTTGTACTCACCAACAGGGAAGGGCTGGTTGGAAATGTGATGCTTCAGGGCAGTCTTTGATGCAGTGATCATGAGATGGTTGAATTTGAGATCCTCAGGACAGTAAGAAGAGCGTGCAGCAAGCTCACTGCCCTAGACTTCAAGAGAGCAGACTTTGGCCTCTTCAAGAACCTGCTTAGTGAGGTTCCATGGGATATAGCCCTAGAGGGGTGGGGGGC